TTCAAGTTCAAGTTTCTTAATTTATTTACAGAACAACACTCATAATTTACCTTTATTGCCACAACTAATTTATTAAGTTCACTATCACCATTCCATAATCCCTTACCCATTTTTGGGTTCCATTCTTTACAAATAATGCCTATGTACATTTCCTCTTTAAACCAAATTACACATCAATTTGCAATTTCACATATTCATCACAAGTCACAAATAACATCACCAACTCAACACACTTGTCAACGCACATTTCAACACAATTCACCTTTTGTCGACTTACTACGGCGGGATAGTGCGCACCGAATCCATAACACTTTCTACCTTTCGCCGGCTACTATACGGCGGAAAGTGAACTCCCAAAAACCATTTTCTCAAAAGCCATTTTCTTCCAGAAACCATATTTCTCCATAAATCATTATTCAACTTTTTAAAACCATCCCCCCACATTTGCTGGCTACTATACAACGGGATGTGGGCACCCAAAACATTTTCGAAAACCATCCTTTTTTCCACTTTTGCTGGCTATTATACGGCAGGACTGTGTGGACACCCAAAAATCATTTTTTCACTTTTGCCGGTTACAATACGGCAGGACTGTGTGGACACCCAAAAACACTTTTCCCACATTCATCCAGCGATAAGCCTAGATAGGGCAATTGGGCACCTTGAATTCACAACCACCCCCACATTTGCCGGCTACTATACGGCGGGACGTGGGCCCCCAAAAACCTTTTTCAACTCCCCGCGCGGGTACCAACACCACCATCCAACACAACTCAACTCAAACTCAACACAACTCAACTCAAACTCAACACTACCCAACACAACTTAACTCAAACTCAACACTACCCAACACAACACAACTCAACATGATTCAATACAATTCAACATAGTTCAACACAATTTAACAAAGTTCAACTCAATTCAATATAATTCAACATTATTCAACACAATTTAACATAATCAACACAATTCAACATGATTCAATTCAACATCATTAAATGTAATTCAACATAATTCAAGATGAACTCTTAAATCTCCATTTCATCATTTCATTCCAAGGCTCATGTCATCCATATTGTTAACAAATCTTTTTCCCAAATTTCATTTCATATTATAGTATGATTTACAATATCCATAATAAAGGTTCATTCGCTAATTTTTAACATAATTTTCAAACACTTCCAAAATTCAATTAAACTTGTGTATGTATAATTGCAAAAATATATGTATTATTGATTGATATGTTTATTGATATATATTACAAATGGTGAGTTATTGATTGATATGTTTATTGATATATATTACAAATGGTGAGTGGCTCATTATATAGGAGAGGGTGAGTGTAGTAGGTGAGGAGTAGGTGAGGAGTAGGTGGTGGTAGGTGATGGTAAATTGGTGGTAGGTGATGGTAAATTCTAACAATAATTCAACCTCTCAATTTCATGATTCTACTTTCAATTTAGGCACAATCATCAATTATTATCATGAATCAACTTAGGGTTTTCAAGAAAAATCAGGACTTTGAAGAAAAATTAAAACTTCTCACACCATTACTTTTTATTCCAAATTTCCTATTGATTATACACCTAAGATTCATAATCCATAACCTTAACCCAACAATTGAACCCCAACACTTCAAACCCTAAACCTCCAAATTCCATGATATAACACTATATGCTCAAAAATATAGATTTTGTATTTATATAATCAAAATACCACAAATCTATCTATTAATGCAAGTATTGAAGAAGAACTAGGACCCCTACCTCAAGGATCAAGCAAGAAATCAAGGCTCCAAGAAGAATCCTTCGCAAATCCAAAATCCAATCGGTTGAAAATGTTGAGCTTCATGTATTCTTCATTTTTTGGTAAGAAATCTTGGCCAAATCTTTAGGGAATGGAAGGTATTTGGGTCAAGATCGAGGGTTTTCGGACCTAGGGTGAGAGGAAGGAAGAAGGAAAAGAAATATGCAAAGAATGATTTAGAAATTCGCTTTTTAAGTCGCTGAATTCGTGCTGTCTGCTCTAGCGTCGCTTTTCCCACTCGAGCGTACCTACTTCCAGCACAAATACTAAAACTTCAAACGGGCATGACTCTCTCATCCGGACTCCGTTTTAGGTCGTTCTTGTGTCCAAATTGAAGCCCCGAAAACAAGCTTTCCAATGGTTCTAGCCTCACACCCAAATTCAAAGTGTAGAAAAAGAAAAGGACAAAAGAGTGATGGCTTCTTGTAGGAAAATTATCCGAATTAAAGTTTTTGATCCAATCATACTTTACCATCATGTTACCACTTCGATCAATGTTCCAAAATAAAACTAAGAGGCTCCAAAGATAATAATAAAAGGTCAAAAACAATCCCACTAGTCTCAGAAATTCAAACTCAACTAGGAAGACCGCTTGAGCGCCCAATCTTGCGCTCGAGCGCGCAGACCAACAAAGCCGTTCGCTCGAGCGACCACTTCTACGCTCGAGCGGAAATTCACAACTCTCAGAATCTCGGACAGACTGCAAAAATACTGGGAGCCTCACAAGTCCGCTCGAGCGTCAACTCCTCCGTTCAAGCGGAGGGGAAAATTCTGGATCGTTACAAGTTTGCTCTCCTTACTAGCCCGCCAATATAGCCCGAGTGGTTTGCCAAGACAAGCAAACACAACATCAATTAGTTGATGAGCCACAAAGTTGGAGACAAGTCACAATATAGCGAGCAATATGCTAAAATTAAAGCAAACAACAATAGATAAGCTTTGCACAATATAAAGGTGAAATGAACTCTTTCATTATGCAAAAGTAGGCGTTACATATGTTGAACAATGCACAAAAGCGCTACAAAAGATTCTTACCAATTGCCAAGTTGGGGTACATTAAAGGCACAAGTGATCTGGTTCAACACTTGGGTAACCCCTCCTTAATATAACTTTGAAAACCTTTTTCAAGCTTACAAGAGGAAACATTTTCTATGTTTGAGGAGTCCTAATGAATTTCTAAAAATTCTACAAAAAGAGAAAAACTAAGGTATTTACATAAAAATTTACAAGGCTAAAGGACTTCATTTGGTCCCTCGAAAGTTGGCCTGAAGCTGCTGCTCCACGGGCAAGGCTGTGGCCTGTTGTGGCTGGGGCTGTGGCCGAAGCGCTGGCCTGGGATGCGGATTGTGCGGCCTGGTTTGCGGCTGGGGCTGCGGCCTGACTTGGGCTGTCGCATGGCATGCTTTGGGCTGTCTTGGAGCATGCCTTGGGCCTTTGCTTGTACTTGCACAAATAACTTAGGCATATCTTGGGTTCTCAAAAGGGCACAAATATGTGTGACATCAAGGTGTTTGACCCTTGGACGGGCGCACCTTGACACCCTACCATACTTGTCTCTTTCTTTTTAAAGGTTTTTCCATATTGATGTATCCGAATCGTATCATGCCGGTATCCATGCTTCATATATTTAATTAAATAGAGAAATGGAAAAAAGAAGAAAAACACAATCTACAATATATATATATATATATAATAAATCATAGTTGGAGATGGTTTTTGTTTGTTGCTTTGACTAGCTAGTTTTTCTTTCTAAATTACTGCAATATTTGAATGCCTGTTTTCCTATTTGTTTTTTTTAGTCTATTTTAATTTAGTAGGACTTATTTTTATTCATTTGGACCATGTACAATTGGTAGTCAGGCAACAAATATTAAATCTACAATAAAATAACTCATATCATACAAAATAATGCTTAAAAATTGGATTGGGTATGATTGGATCCAGATTAGGATTCCATGATCCTATAAGATCCATCCAACTCTCAAGATTGAATGATCCTACTTGTAGGGGATTTTCTACACTATCCAGATTAAATTTCTTTTTTCAAACAGATATTCTTTCTCTACACAATTGGGATTCTTATCCATAGCCACTTGGCTGCCCACCTCCCTTGACACTCCATCCACCACCTACGTCACTTCTTCCCCATGGTCCTAAATTGCATCAATATTATAGCAGAATTGCATGTAGGATCATGTAGTGTCGTATATAATCCCAAGTAGAATTGTTGGGATGGTTATTTTTCACAAAATTTTTAATATGCATAATCATTATTGGTATTTTTTCCGGAAAGTAAAATCTTACTACCCTCGATCCAATCCTACGATCTGATCCACTAGACCGTCTCATCAATCCTACACAGGATTCCTGTTTTAGCAACTATACTGCTAACCCCAATCATCTTCCCTGCCATCATCTATTGCATGCCCCACCTCTCCCTTGACCTCCGCCATCACATAGCTTTTGGCGAGTAATATATGCATCTTTGAATGGAATATTGTGAGCAACATCTTTTTGAATGAAATACGGTGATGATTAAGTGGCTTTGTTTGATATTATGGGATCTAGCAACATCTTCGAATGGAATATTGCTAGTAACATCTTTGCAAATATTATTATAATTATTATTTTTTTGTAGAATGTTCAAAATATTAGTTAGCAGTGCAAGAAATTATTAAATTATATTAGACAGTTGTCTTCATTTTGCTCAATGAGAAAAGCTAGAATCTTTCCGGGGAGTCATGGGAGTAATGTAAGAATTTTTCCCTTAGTCTTATGTTCGATGACGTAGGTACTTCAGGCCTAACTCAACTATTGGGCTGGATCCACGATCTTTTTTCCTTTCTTGTTTAGTATGTAACCATGGTTATATTTCATATGACTTTGTGTAGGTGTGTTCTTTATGTATTTAGTCTTGAGCATTTGTGGTTCGGTAGGCATTTTGAACTCATACAAGGTGCAAAAATGCACCATAAAATACATAATGCTAGTGACAATTATGTGGTATGATTATCTTAAGAAGCTGAACTTTGCAGGGCTTGAATGAGTTCAGGTTTGGTAACTCTGCATACTAGATTTGGATTCAAGATTTTCCTTTGTTCATGCTCTTTGAGCCTCTTCAAATTTCCATGGCCTACTTAATTAATTAATGTATTTACTAATAACATTGTTTGTCTTATCTATTCCAATGGAAGGATGCTGAAGGTACAAAGGCAATGTGTGTTGAGTTGGTTGCTAATCGCTTCCTACGCAAGGTAATTACTTTTCCACTAATCATTTTGTAAACATATTGTTAATATCTTCTCGAATAACTCCCCAAGACCCTTCCCAATTCAAAATAGAAGACTTACAGTTCTAACTAATTGGGTCTGCAAGGTAAATCTTTTATTCCCATTTGACCATACCATCTATAAAACCCCATAGAAAACTCTAGGGTAGTGTTTGGTTTAGTTTTAGAATTGTGATTCTAATAAAAAAATTTCGAAACTCTTTTTAAAACTTATAACCAAATACACAATTTAAAACTCAATTTAAAAATTATTTTCAAAATTCATGACTAAACACACAATTCAAAACTCATTTCAAAACTTTTTTCAAAACTCATAACCAAACTCTTTTTAAAACACTATTTTAAAAAAATAAAATTCAAAAAAATATTTTTTTTATTTTGTTTTTAAAATTATTTTTAAAATCATGATTTGAGTGTGGAATTGTGTTTTGAGTTATGAGTTTGGAGTTGAGTTTTGAAAAAATAAAATTTGTTTGATTATGAGTTTTGAAAAGAGTTTTGAGTTGTATTTTTTTAATGTGTACTATATTTCATACAATTGTGTGATGTATTTTTTTAAAATATTTAAAATATTTTATTTTTTTTATTTTAAATATTTTACTTTATTTTATAAATATCTTTAAAAAAATTTAATTTTTTTTTCTTACATTTTTTTAAAAATATTTGTTTATTGTTTTAAATTTTAAAAAAATTTTAGATTGCTATATATATCTAAATCATAATAAATTATTTGGCCAATACTTAAAAAAATAAGAAAATTTATTTTTCGAAAAAATAAAAAAATATTTTGAAAAAAAATATAAAATAAAAAATAATTTTAAAGAACAAAATAAAAAATATTTTTTTTAATTTTTTTTGGTAGAATTTTGAAAAGAGTTTTTGAATTGAGTTTTGAGGTATGTGTTTGGTTATGATTTGAGTGTGAAGTTGTGTTTTTAGTTTAAAATAGTAAACCAATAAAATATTTAAAATTATTTAAAATAATAAAATAAAATTTTCTTAAACATTTTTAAATATTTAAAAACAATAAATCCAAAAAATTTTAGAATACAACTCATAACTCAAAATACAACTCAAAACTTTTTTCAAAATTCAAAACTCTTTTTAAAATTCATAACCAAATAATTTTCTCTTTTCAAAACTCAACTCACAATTTCACACTTAAATCACAACTCCATACTCAAATCATGATTCTAAAATTAAACTAAGTAGATAATTTTGCCTCTTTTGCTGTTACATGTTAGAATTGTGTTATATAGAAGCTGTGTTTGGATCATGGATTTGGATAGAAATTTGAAATATAAAAGAAAACTGTGAGAAAAATGTGAATGAAATATGAGTTAATTTTTTTTTTTTTCCATTTGTCTCCTCTCTTTCTTTCCCTTTTCAAATTTGTACCGAAATCCATGATTCAAATATACCAGAAGAACTAATGAAATGGGCCACAGCTGGCCTAATGACCTTGGAGATCTTGACTCATGTTGTTTCCAGGCATCTGCCAAGATGGACCTTTCCTATTCTTCATTGAATTAGTGGAGGTCCTTATGAATATAAATGTTTGAAGATTGAACTTGAAAATAAAAAAGAAAAGAAGTTTACTAGATTGATTAGTCTGAAGGGCTGGTCATAGAATAAATATAATCCTCGATGACTGTGATTGGTAGATGGTTCGAGTTATTGTGGCAACGGCAGTAAGGGAAGCAGCTGCTGGTGCGGAAGAAGATGCATTGCTGAAGTTAATGGGGGCAACATGTAGACGTGCAACTGCTCCACCAGCGCCACCTGATGGCCTTTGCCTTGTTGACGTTGGGTATACAGAATTTGACTCCAAAATTTGCCAAATATCTTGAGGTAAACATATCATCACTACCATAATAAAACTTATTGGCTATTTTAGCATTGATTAACTGTATGCATGATGCAGGGAGAGAAGTTCATAACCAGCATGCTTCAATCTATCCCATCAGATATGTTGAGTAGAAGATGTTCCTAATCTGTTGGCAATAAATATCACATGTAGTATATTTAATTTTTGTACTATATAAGTTAATTACAATAGTCATTTTATTTTCATTCATTGTTTCCCATTAGCCAAAGCATTTTCATATGAATTCAGCATTGTCCAGTAGTGTATTAGAAGAATCATTTGAGAAGCTTCACCAAACAGAGGTAGTCAATGCAAGTTTTACCAGCAAAAGCTAACACATCGCTGTTGTTTTGTCTAAAAAGAGACTACTTAGAAATTTGGATTTGCTTGGGCTTATTTGGTTAAACTGCATCATCTTTGTGTGTTTGTACTATAAACTAAATTCTTTTGAATTTGAACCGACAACCTTTTATACCAAATCTGAATTTATCTCAAATGTGAATCTTGTGACATATTTAAGGCAGCCGTTATATTCTTTACACTATTAGGAACGTTCCTATACATTCACCAACTTTTTCTTGTGTCTGGGGTGAATCAATTCTTGTTGTATACTATTTAGAGCATCTTTAATGGTTTTGCCATTTTGATAATGTCAGTCAAACCTGTATTTTGGCATGTTACAATACCAAAAAAATTATAATTTAGTGATTGTGTTCTAATGGTGCAAATGTATGTTATTATTTTATTTTTTCCAGATACAGTGCCTAATGAAAATATTATTTGTTGGTTACATCATAAGAAAGATAGGGAGATGAGTTTTGTTATAATTTATAAGGTGATATGTAGACCATTTGGAGTGTTTCTTTTTTTGTTTGAGTTCCTATGAAATTTTAGCAATGACAAGTGATACCTCTATTCTCCTATACTATAAAACAGAGTTCGTATAAGCTACAGTGATTGTGGCCCTCATTTTACTTACCATTTTTGCCCCGTTTTTATATTCAGATGAAACTTTGTTTCAGTTAGACTTTTGAATTAGCTCGTAAATTCACACATATTTCTGATTTCAGCCAGGTGTCTCCCTTCCCATATTTCTGTCATTTTTTGTCGTTTTCGTTTTTCTACGCATATTTTTCTCTTGTTGTTCTCTCATCTCATCCATGATTATGGTGGTTGAGTTCACATGCTCCTTAGGCTCTCTTGGACCGTCGACTACCCGTATACTTTGCTTTTGTCTAGAACTGGTTGTTTAAGCGTTAAGAAGATAGAAAAAGGGTTTGTACTTTTATTTTATTTCTTCCCCTGTTTGTTAAAGCTTTATTGAAGTATTGTTGTTTTTCGAAGTTGATTGTAACAGCTTCATAGTGTTTTTCAGTTTCTTCAGAGAAGAACGATTTTCTTCTTTGATTCTTTACTCGTTTTGTGTGTGTGTGTGTGTGTGTGTCGTTTGTGCCCTTTTTTCCTATTTGTTGGTGTTATCTCGAAGCTATTTTGCAGATGCATTTGTATTTATGTACTATGGATGAATCTCTCTTTTGGGGCTTTTAAGTGGAGGGTTTTCCTGATCTGTTTTTGTTTTCATTTCGTTTTAATTTTGTATTTTTTGTATTTTTTATATTTCTATGTTGTTTGTTTTGGCTTTTGTTATGGTATCTTGTGTTTTCCATTTTTGTTATTATTTTTTTAAAAAACTAGTGGTTGGACACATGCGGTACATGGGGCACATGATTTTTTATCTACTGTTAGTATTGTAATTATGCATCTCTTAAATTGGTATATGATATGTATACAAAGTATGGAGACTTGTATGAGTAAATTGATCTGTATGAAAAAATATAACTAAGTAAGAAATGAATACATATTCGGCTGAAGAATTTAAATGATAAATGAAAAATGTTAAAATTATAAACATTAATTTGTAGTTAGATTGTTGAGATCACAATCTTATCTTAAATAATAAACAATAAACAGATCTTTTAAATATATAGTATTACTTAAAAAATTATCTATCAACTTCTTACTTCAATTTTTCATAATTCACACAGTAATGTAATTGAAGGTATGCAATTAATTGTATAATTTTGTTTAATAGTTCATCTCATAATACAAATTTATTGAACCCATTATTGCATATTATTTGATACTATTGGTGTAAGAATATATTAATATCAATATGTAATATATTTTTATATATTAAGAGTTGTTGAGTCTTGTTTCCTATACTAGAAATATTTTGCATAATGAAAAATATAGCATTAGTCATTAGTATACAATTGCCATGAAAATATATATATATATATATATAAAGTACAGTTATTGTCGTGATGAAAGTGTTTTGCAAAGTCGTCGTTTGTTATTGAAAGCATTTGTTGTGAATACTTATTTGTATCGCATGTATGTATATATGTATTGAACATAAGTTGATAGGAGAATAATATACAATTCTGCAGTTTTTTCCTAGCAAGTATAATTATATTGCTAAAGCGATACATGTTAGAAAATTAAAGTATCTGATGATAATATAGCATTACAGTTGATAATGTATGAATATAGTTACATATATAAATTTACATTTATTTATTTATATATATTTATATATGTAGACATTGACATATATAAGATATCACAAAAGTAATATGTGAAATCTTTTGTAACAATATAATGCAGGCAATAATGAGAAATTAATTATTCATAATTAAGTAGTTAGTCATAATGTAAATTTTTAGTGTTATATTTTTGTGTGCATGCATCATTTTTTAATTAGATTATTAAATTCACATAAAAATTAAAAGGAATTTGTAAATAATTTGTGTAAAATTAGAAATTAGTGAAGAAAGATTTTTAAAAAAGAGGAGTTCATAGTGCTTGGTTTAGTTTGTTTTTTCAAATTTTTGTTTTGAATTTTTTGATTTTCATGTTTTCTGTCTTTGACACTTTTTTTAATAACCTTTTTATTTTCTTTTAGATTCACTTAATTTAATACTTTCTTATTTTTTTATTTTACTTTTAAATTTTGATTCACTTAATCTAAATACACTTAGAAAATAATTTGTTTTGTATTCTTTTTGAATTTTAATAATAATAATAATAATAATAATAATACATGTTTGAATTTATAATTGTTTTTACCAATATTTTACTTTTTAATTCTATTTAGATTATTAGATATTAGATTTCATGTAAAAATATAATTAAAATATAAAATATGAAAAAATTTCAGTATCTTTAATCACCAAAATTGAGAAAATATGAAAAATAAAAAACTGAAGAACATATTTAAAAAATAAAATCAACGAAAGTGGTTCTTGTTTAAAATTTTAACTTCATACATTGGTTATTAAAGTATCATGTAAAATATTACAGTTTATAAAATATAATTTAAACAAAAGAAATTGTATGAAGATAACCGGCGAATTTTTGAAATGCAGCACAAATTTTTTTTTTTTTAAAACGCATAATGTTTCTTCTGTCTAGATTCAAATGAATGCATGCAACTTTAAGATTCAACCAAAATAATTCACAGTGATTTGATCCATGATGAAAATTGTAAATATTATGTATATCACTATAGAAGTAGACACAGGAAATAAGAAAGAGTAATTGTAATTGTAATTGTTTTTTGTTCTTCAATCATCATCAATATAAAAAAATAGAGAGACAGTTTGTTTATATTTATATAGGACTCTTGGAAGCAGATATATCAATTTGAGTGTTCAACTCCAAAAATAAAAAGATAGTTGACTTATATAAGACTTTTCATGACTTTTAAAAAATAGAATAAATTTAAGAGGGTGAAATTGGGATTTAAAAAAAAAAGTAAAAAATATGACAGACTCCTTATACTTTTATAATAGTAGTAGATATATTTTTTGTTTTTATCGTCATATCTTAATTTCTATGGTTTTCATTTTTTTAAAAAAATTCTTTTATTCTTCTTGCATGCCGGTCAAAATGTTGGTTGTGATTTTGTGTTATTTTATTTTGCTTCTTTTATGGTTGTTGTCTTTCTGTCCTGAAGTTTCTATTCGTACAAATATCTCTTGTATGTTAAACCCAGGATTTTTTTCTTCTATTTTTGTTATTGTTGTATTTCTTTGTTTTTGGTTGTTGCCTCTGCATATAAATAGTAGACCTGTACATGCCTTTCTGTATCACCTTTTCTCACGATTCTTCAATATCACAAATTTTTTTATGAAATAGAGACAACAATTTAAAGAGAGTTTCTATGAGGGCAAGAAAGAAATAGAGTAAGAGGCTATAGTGGAGAAATTCCCAATTTGGGTCAAATGGAAGGAGTCATGTAATCCCACCGATGGCCACGACATTGTAAAGGTCCTCTCTTCTCTTTTTCTTGTTTTTCTTTGTTTAATTTTTTTGAGCAGACCAAATGGTTGAGCCTATCAAAACCAAGGGTGAGCTCTTATCAATGTTAATCCTTTTTATGGGGATGTATTTTTAGGGTTGTGTCACGTGGTCGGGATGTGGCCGAGGTGTCACGTGGGTGAGCTAGATTGTTGAGGTAGTTACGGTGTTGTCAAGATATGGTGCGGTAATACAGGAATCTCGAGATATTTGGATAAGGGACAAGAGTCCTAGATAAGTGATGCGCTTTATTCGGATAAGAATAAGGCTTTTGACGAGTTCATTCATATCTAACTAAGAGTCCAAGATAAGCATTGTGTTTGAATCTTGTGAAGTGAGACATTTAGACGACGAGGGCACTGCTAGCTATAAAAGTAAGACACTCCTATAAGTCTAAGGTATGCTTTTACTTGTGCACTGATTTATTGTAGGTCTAAGGTATGCTTTTACTTGTGCACTGATTTATTGAGTTGAGATCTCATGAGATTGTTGACTGGCTTGATAGTCGGAGTGTCCCCAGGTGGACGAGCCATCGTGGTATTCTTATCTTCTTGTTAGCAGATGTTTGGTTTAATCTATTCTGCTGCGTGCACTATAGCTAAGTTCCTTGTTTGGTTGTGAGGTCGAAAATTAACATACACAATTGGTGCCGCTTATGGGAACTTAGTATAGAATAGATGGCCAACGCTGGACAAGAGGTGAGAGTCGCGGATGACATACACAGTAAGGAAGGTGAGTATGTGGATCCAAATGCTGAAGGAAGAAACAATGACGAAGAAATGCAAGAAATAAATCTTGAGACAAACAATACTGCAAGGGGCCGTAATGGCTCGAGAAAAGGCAACTGAGAAGAATATTACAACGAAAGGAACTTCCAGGTATGGAAAAAAAGGTGCGTCAGAAGAGACGACGAGCTAAAGGACTTGGCGAACCAGTTGATAGACCTGTAGACCATGGTGAACTTCATGATACAGAGCATGGTGATGCAACCAGCGTTGCCTTTACCGGAAATGCTGACTCCAGCAGGAAACGCCTTCGCCCAGAAGGAAGGACTGGCTGCAATGCCAACCATCCTACAACAGAATGTCAGGCGAACAGAATCACAGCGGGAAGGGTCCCAGAGAACCTTGAG